CCGGCCCGCCGACTTCTTAGCCATCCACGACGACTCCTACGACGGCAACAACTACAACAAGACCACTGTGAATGCCACCGATATGCCCAGCACAGTGCCGCCCACGCCCCAGGGCAAGCACAAGGCGGTGCCGCACATGAAATGGATCTTCCCCGTCACCTACGTGACGGACATCAACAACGTCAGCGAGACCCTGTGGATGCAGAATGTGGATAGTAAGTTTTTTTTTTGTCTGTTTTATTGCTAGAAATTGGAGAAAGATAAAGCTGGAATACACTGTCCCACTGTCCCTTCATTCATGGAAAAACCAAGGGATCTCTACTAGAACCTCGTCGACGAAAGTATAGCTGTGGATGTATTTAGGTCTTTAATCTGAATCATAAAAGTCAAAGCTCAATCGCAACTTCTCTAGAAATCCCTTTAATAGAATCTTCGGTATCTACGCTTATGTATTCACAGTATTTCCATGGCTATTTTCCCTCCCTTATCATTAATTACCGAACCCTGTTTCCACAGTAAACTTCAATGTGCCGGAGAACGTCAAGTGGATCAAGGTGAATGCCATACAAAATGGTTACTATCGCGTTGTGTACAACGACGATAACTGGGCAAATCTCATCGAGGAACTATCCAACAATCCCAAGAGGTTCAGCAGCGAGGTAAGAGTCCAATAAGCATGCAGCGCGTCCAGCCATAATTGAGAGATAATTTTGCCTGCAGGATCGTTTGGGTCTGCTGTCCGATGCCTTCACGCTGTGCCATGCCAATCTACTGCCCTGCGAGATCACCATGAACATGATCCAGTATCTGCCCAGCGAAACGCACTATGGACCCATGGCATTGGCGCTGCGGCATCTGGAGAAGTGGCGGCGGATACTCAAGTACTCCGAGTGCTTCCTGATGCTCAGCGAATTCATCAAGATGAAGATCTCGACGGTTATGGAGAAGGTGGGCTGGACAGATGAGGGCGATGTGGCTGCCAGGTAGGAGAGATCTATCTGTGTGGGGATCATTAGAATATTTCTGATCGATTCTTTTCCCCTTAAAGATTGATGCGTCCCGAAGTTTTGCTGGCATCGGTGCTGTGGGAGGATATTGATAGCATAACCAAGGCCAAGAATATGTTGAATCAGTATCTGTACTACAATGGATCGGCCATAGCGCCCAATCTGAGAGAGGTAAGCGGTGCTCTGGCGGTGGCAGGAGTAGATCTAACCAAATTTTCTTTGTTCTTTAGGTGGTCTACACGGGCTCCATTCTTTCCGGGGAGTACATCTATTGGCAGCATTGCTGGGAGCGCTTCGTTACCTTACAGCGGACCTCGGAGACTTTCGTGGAGCGAATGCAATTGCTGCGTGCTTTGGGCAGGACCAAGGATGCCTGGCTGCAGAACCGCCTGCTGTCGCACGTGACCATGCTGCCCACGGAGGAGGTGGTGCAGGTGCTTAAGGCGATTGCTGGCACGCCCACAGGTGGGGCCATGGCCTGTCGTTTCCTGCAGGCCAAGTGGTTCGAGCTGGAGAAGCGACTGGGACCGGGAACGATCAGCTTTGCCAAGGTGATATCGGCCATCACTCAATACGGAGCCACAAAGTTCGATTACGATGAGGTATGGCATCTCTACAGATCTCTGGAATCTTTACAATATATACTTACGGATTTCTGTTGCTCTTTTCTCAGCTCAAATCGCTGGTACATCGCTTCGGCAGAGGTCAGGGCATGTCCGTGCTGAACATGACCCTCAGCAGCGTGGCCTCCAATGTCGAGTGGGTGGCTCGCTCCCAGACGTCGCTCTACAAGTGGGTGGAGAGCAACCTGCACTCGCACCGCCGATAAAGGATAGAGGAATAAACCCCAAGGAGGAACTTCTTCTTCTCACACTCATTTGTAATTATGTTCCTCTCAGACAGACGGATGATCTTCAGTGGATTTTGATTTCGCCGCGTAAACTATGGATCTATATAATCTATACCATATCATTGCCAATCTCCTTGGTTCTCTACTCTCAAACATACACACACACTATAATTTTAGACACAACCCCTTCGAAGCGAACTCAAAATGTAAATTACGATCGATGGATCGATCGCAGCAGTTCTTATACGAGTATAGTTCTTATATGTGTACAATATATCTATTCCAAATTGAGAAAAAAAGAAACATTTTTCAATATCTACAACTGAACATAAGGATATCTATCTATATATGTATATTGTATATGTATATGTATGTATATTTTACAAACCGACAAAAACATATTTAGAGCAATGTGGGATAAATGTAGTTCGTAAGCAGAAGAAGAAAAAAAAAAACAGAAAAACCAAAACATATTTTTTCAGAAAAACTTAAAGAAAACAAACCCAAGATCAACTATGGATTGCATTCTATATGGTAACAAAGAAACAAAAAAAAAAAACAAAAACACTGTATAGCCTATATTGTATATTAGTATTAGTGACCAGCGTGTGTATGTATATGTGTGTGTGTGTCAGTATGTGTGTGTTTTGAAATATCACAAATATCTTCCTTTTTGTCCAATCGAAATTAACTTATTTAATATTTAATAATTATCTAACAGAAAAAAGCCTGCCTGACACTAAACAAACAAAAAAAGATGATCGTAAATCAGTTATAAAAGAAAGAGGGGACCTTGATTATGTGACTCATACATACATTTGTAGTTCTTCTTAGGTTTTAATCGGAATATAAGCCGAATATAAATTGAAGAGTTACAAAAAGTGAACTTAAAGAACCCTGAAGGGATACTTAAAATTCTTTAGCAGCGCTGAAAGCTTGTTGCCTCCTGTTGAAAACTGGTGATGTAAAATTCTGCAAATATTTCTACAAATCTTCTTGTACAAGATGTAAATTCACAAAGAACAGGAGAGGATTGTCTTTAAATCCTTGAAATCTTTTTATCCAATATTTAAGTTGAAAAAAATATTGATGTCACATTTTGCACAGATTTGAGTGATCTGTAATTATTATATTATCAGTATTACGTTTAAGAGTAATACTTAATAGACTTCTACCAGATTTCATCCCTTAGAACCTTAAGATCGGTTACAAGTACGGTTGCATATAGCATATAACAATCCACAAAAAAATATGTAAGCATTATTTATTGCGAGGACTTAGCCAATTTATCATTAATTCAAGAGGAAAATCTTAATCAGAATTGTTTGAAATTAGGATAAAATCACATGGCAAGCACTTAAATATGTTTAATGGGGTATGCATACAATTCAAAGAATCTGAAAAGATAATACAAGCAAACAAGATATTTAAACTTCAGCTGAGATTAATATATTGGTTAACATTATCATATATGTATGTGTGTATGTAGTTAACAAAGAAGCCAACGGAGTCTCCCAATGAGTTCTAGTGATGTTCGTCGTATCGTTAAGAAACATTCCGTAGTTGCATTTTGTATGTTAATTTTAATCAAAATTGCTTGCCAATACCATATAGCTGCCATGGAAATACAAGTCTTAAAGATAACTCAAAAAACGAAACGTACATTAGATCAAATCGGTTAACATATAGCACTCATAAGTAGAAAACGATTGGTAGGCTCATTTGAAGTTCGTTGTGGTGTCAGGCAGGCAACAAAAAACATAATACAGATTAAAAAATACTATATAGAGATCCATACATGGCGTACTCGTCGTACATGCTGTAGTTTTGATGGAATCACAAACCCTTTATTGTAGAACCCATAGAAGCAACCAAAATTCGACACTCTTTATTTACGCACTCGCATAAGACAACCAGAAACAAAAAAGAAACCAAAACAGATAACGTTCCGAGACTACTATTAATGCTTTAATTTGAACAGTTTTACCATTTAATTATATCGTGGCTTATCATTGGAGTGTTAGCCCAAAAGATAGACTTTTGGATGGATGGATGTGGTCGATGTTTGTGTAAACTTAGGAAACCCGTCGACTTCTGGTCGCTTGTCTTTTGTGGGGCCGATGGCATGCCGGTTTTTGTGTTTAATTATACCTTTAAATGGAAGTACGAAAAAAGTCTTGCCATTGGCAGCCAGCCCCGATAAGAGCGAGTGCCATGTGGCGAGAGATTAGCTCTACAGAGGCGTAGACAGGGAGAGACTTGAAGAGGGGTTTGCTCATAAAGAAACTAAGTGTAAAAGAAAGAAGATCCGAACCCCCTTTGGCCTCCACCTGAGTGACGAGTATCTCCATGTCTCAATCGCCAATCTTCCTCTCTCACTATCTAAAAACGTGTCCAACGTTTAGGCATTGTTGTTAGGCTAGGCAGTTAGGTAAAAACCTTCAACACCATTTTAGTATGCTAATTTGAGATCTTTGATTTGGTTTTGGTTTTTTTTTTTTTTTGGTGGGGGGAGGGGGAGAAGACTTGTCTTTTGGGAAACTATATGCTTGGCTTTAGATACACTTAAGACTAACTCAAAGATACTCGTACTCGTACTAGTACGGCGTACAGCGTACTCGTACATCGTACATTCTTGCAACAAAGTCAATCTGCTCAGATACCAGAATATATATACAGAAACAGAGAGAGAGACAAAAACCACAAGCAACTTTATTAGCTAACGACAGAAAATACAGAAATAAATAAATAAAAAACAAGTTTTTGGAGCGATTTTACGGATTTTCGACAAATGTATAAACCAAACAAGAAACCAACAGAAACAAAAAATGAGAAAAATGATAAACGAAAACAAACTCAAAATAGAAGAGCACAAAGACACACACAAAAATTGGGAAGATACACCCCAGAGGGCAGAGAATTAGAAAGTTTTACGTATCATATGAGGAAAGAATATCATTTGATTTTGGTTGCACCTTTGAATTTTGGTTTCCTTTTTCAACCAATTTCATCATCTAATTGTACTTTATAATGCATATCCGTCCACAGATTTGATTGATATTACATATTTGGGTTCCGCTTAGTTCATCAATGATCACACACACACACGCAGAGAACCTCACCCACACAGACCCATGTCCCGTCCAATCAAAACCTTTTCTCGAAAAACCAACCAACACCCCCAAAAAAAAAGAAACTATGTCTTGGAGTTGAACAAGAAATGGCCTTTACTATAATTTTCTTGAGCGAAAGAACGAATACACGAATTCTAGTTAATTTTATTAGATGAAATTTATTTGCAAAGATCGTAATGCATTGGCTATCAGGTTTTATAAGGAAATTTGTGTAGGGATGGAAGGAAGGAAGGAAGGAAGGGAAGAGTATTGTATCTAGGAGGGAAATGAAAGCAGGCAGAGAAACTCTAAAGACGTAAATCTAATTGTATGCTAAATGATATATACACATCTATATATATAAACATATATATATTTACATAATGTATTTTAAGTCAAATGGGAATATTAATAAAAGCGATAACTACTCTGTAATAAAAACAAAAACATTTACATCTTCTTTCATTTAGTTCCAAAAAACGTTCCACATAATAATTTGGATTGTGCACAAAAGAAAATATTTACCTTTAATAGCATATCATCATTTTTATGGCCCAATCAGTTATCCATTATAGTTTATGAATGAAATTGCTTTGCACCCCCGATGCCATTGTTTTCTACAATGTTTTTTCGCAGGCAGTTCTACTTTGTCGCATTGGGGAGAGCCAATCGGTTTTGTAATCACTCAATAAATTGTGTTTGCATGTTGATGTGGAATGGAGTGTAAAATTACCCAGGAAAACTCAAATGTTGAATCACTGTTTAAGAAGGAATGTCGCTCGAATACATTAAAAATTCATCTACATATAGTATGGCGCAAAAGTGTCATTATTTATACATTCCAGAGAGTTTTGGATCATAGCTCTGAAAATAGGTAAACCCCTGAATATAAATATATAAAGGAAAAATAAACAATACTCCTTATATATAACTCAATACCTACCCTACACCCAATTGGTCACTCTTCATATACACAAGCGTGGCTCAATGTCGTTTGGATTCATCGGCCCCCCCTTAAGCGGAAGATATGGATTCCACCCCGCTGTTAATTGGGGCCCTGCCAGCTGGGGTCTGGGGCAGCGGATCAATGGACAGAAAATCTGCTGCCTGCTGTCAGCACGCGCTGAGACACGCGAAAACAACAACAGATTGGAGCGCCGGCAGAGCTTTTAACGCACTTGTCGCTATCTATCTGTTTGCTTGCTGTAGGGGCCGATTGGGGCTCTGACTCTCTTTCTCTCTCGCGCGTTATCTCTCTTTTGCCGCCAGCGACGCAAACAGCTGAAGCAGTGTTGGCGTTCGCTTGGAGCTTTTCAGTGTTTTTTGAAACGCCGTTCAGTGAATTACTCGCTCGCTCGTACACCTGATTTCTGCCCGCCATCCACCGATGCAACAGCTGATTGCGCTCTTAAGTGGAAGTGTTACATTCAGACCTATCTATGACAAACCTCTCTTGCTCTCTTTCGATTCAACGAAACGAACAGAAGAGGAAGATACAAACAACAAGTGTGAGAGTGTGGCGCGCTTTTTGAAACTGTAACTGTAAACTAAAAGTGTAAAAAGGCCGACAACAAAAGGTGCGCAAAAAACCATCAACAAACGCAAATTGTAAACCAGTAGGTAAAAGAGAATTAAGTTAAAAGTGTGTTATAAATAGGAGAATAATTACAATTACAATTAGTTCATTTCAAGTTGAAAAGGGGAACAACATTTGCGTCGTTAAGCTTGCATCCATCCTTCTCCCTCTGCTACTGCTACTGTATAGGGTGCTTGGCTCGTGTGTGTGAGAGTGTGTGAGTGCGCGTGTGTCTAGGCTAGTGCAAGGTGCAAGATAAGACAAGGTGAGGACATTCCCAGAGTGTGCTCTAAAATGAAATCGTACTCTTCTGCTCATACTAATACGAGCGTGGAGAGTGTACTGTTCATCCGTGGAACATAAAAAGAGCAAGTGCATAAGAATGCCGCACCTTGTATACAATACACTTTTGGTCTAGCATGTGCGTGGAGAGTTCTAGGAAATTTCTCTCCTCTAATCAACAAGTTGAATTGAATTTTAATTTCGCCAGTTCTCTCCTTGGCTCTTCCCCTACTAATATTCCCCTTATATATGTGTGTGTGTGTGTGTGTGGGTGTCCATTTCTATGGAAATTTGCTCAGCGCCAACAAAACAACATCAACACGTGTGTGTGTTGTATATATATATATTTCGCATCAATTTACCGGTATGATGTGGTCATCATCACAGCGTGCCGTGCGCCTCGCTCTTCCGCTCTTACTATCTCTTCGCTGCGCTTGCTGCTTGCTGCTCTTTAAACACAACAACAAAGTGTGCCGTGCCTTATAAATAAATATTTACATTAATTTGTTCTCTTGAATTTTGTTTGCTGTACATATGTATGTGTGGTGGCACGTCAGTGTGTGAATGTCTGGTAATGATAAGGAACGGTTCCATAATGTATACAACAATTAAACAAACAAAAATAATATTGGAAACAATCGAACATCCACAGTCTAGAGTCACGCTCTGCGAAATCCATTGATATGAATGTATCGCCAGACTTTATAATAAACCCTTTTTGAGACCTCCTCCCCATCCATTATTATGGGGCGGCAGCTTCAAATGTTTTTGTCACGACAACACTTTTATTTAGTTTCTGTTTGTTACCTCGTGGAGCAGAAAAGGTATATTATGGTCGTAAGCGTTTATGAGACAGGGTAAGGGAATGCTTTAAGCCCTATAAAGCGTGTACCTCTGAGTGTTTTCTTGATCTGCCGTAACATTTGTCGACCTAGACTTGTGCGTAGTTTAATTTTTAATGCTATAAGATCTTTCTTATATCTTTTGCTAGAATTCCGTAGCATTTACAATTTTAAAGATATAGGGGTTCCCTTTTGGTGCGATAATTTATAAAGATAATATCTAGCGATAAACCAATAATCATTACGATCGATTAAAATCCATAACTCAAAAGCCAGCAAACTCTATATTATTAGAAAGTTTTAAGGGGACAATATCCATATGTAGTTATGTAGGTATATTTATAGCCAATAATTGACGATCTTTTAAGAAGCATCAGTCAGCGAAAATGCAAATGCAAATGAAACAAGCTTCCAAATAGTATTCTGGTTTCCAGAGATCTTCCACTCTCTTATTTTCAGAGACTCTTTGCCTGGATATCATTGTCAGATAGAAAACCTGAAAAGCGGGTATCACATAGTCGAAATATTGACCTGATCGTTCTTTATTAATACCACGTATTTTCTCCCACCGCAAATTAAAAAGTCAAACTGCATGACGATCCCCAGACACGGATTCCACTTTTCTGCCGTACCCGTAGCGGGACCCCGACCCTCCGCTTGATCTGCCCCACTCACCTGTTGATTTGACTTTGACAGTTAATTGCTAAAATCAATATCTACAAAGGTACACTGAGATACAGATATGTACATTGTTGTTGTCGTGCACATGTACTTCACATATCTGTGTACATGTGTTTTGTCGGACAGCAGGGCTTGTTCTGAACTTTGTATGTTTGTTTTCAACTTATTTTTTCACATTTTTCTCTCATTTTTAATTATTGTTAACGTTTTATTCAAATTATAGCCTACGTCAAGGCATCCAACGACAGTAGAAAACAAAAGCAACAACAAAAAATATTTAATAATAAACAAGACTGGAAAACGGACTTACATGGCTACCGAAGCAAACAATACTCTAGTCGAGGGTCTTTTCTCTATGCTAAAGATAAGCTCTAAAAAAAAAAGAAAGTTCTCTTTTTAAGAGACAATTATATCAGATTCTGAATATTTAAAGATAAAGGCGAGAGCTTTGTTTACTTAAGAGAGTGTTGCCTGCTTAAGAGGAAACGATACAAAGATGTAAAGACGAAGACCCAATCTTAGTCTAAGAGAGATCTACAATCAGTAGACCCCAAAGAGATTTTATTGTTTTCATGCTAAGATAATGAGACCTACTTTGGAAGGAAATCTTAGAGATTTCCGAATTACTGAATGAAAATAGCAGGAATACAAGGGGCATAAACCTATTGGAGGGAAGATCTCTGGAACAGACCTCGCCCTAGGCACCAAAACCTAAGCCTAGATCGCTCTTAAGACGATCAAATCTTCAAGATATTGCACATGAACAAACCCCATTGTCGTTTTGGACCATTGTTTTCTTGGATTCAATAGAAAAAAAATTGATTTTACACTTCCTAAAATTTCACATTTAATACCTTGAACCATTATTTCTATCTCTTACTCTCTCCAACCTTTTCCATTCTGCGACCACCAAATCTCTCCTGCAAGCGCATCTACCCCATTTCCAAGTGTCTGATCATATAAAAAAGCGCTTAAAAAACAGGTTTCATTTTTCTTGTGTCGCACAAAAACGTAAAGATTTGCAATGTTGACTTGGTTTCGCGGAAAAAACCGTACGATATCAATACGGTTTGCATTGTGACTTCATGATTTATAAATATATGAAACCATTAACAGAGGATGCAATGCCATTGCTATGTAGAAATTTGGAGATGAAAGTGATATACATAAATGGGGCGAAATGATTTAAGTATTCTGGGAAGAAGGATATCCTTCAAATATTCTACACAAAAAGTACAGAGAAACTTTAAAGCCATAGATAGCCTTGAAATTTAGAGGTGTTTACAGGAATAGAATACACAGACAAATAAAAGATAATCTAAGGCCCGTGTCCATATTGATTGATTGCCTTCGATATGAACACATATTCTGTCAATTTTTCATCATTTGTTTAACAACTAACTTTATTTTCTGCCATAGCTCAACAATGATTCGATTTCACCAATTTGACATTGCATTAATAATTGCTTTAAATTACCTAATATTTCTACTAACATTGATATGTATCTGTGATTTAATACGATACATAACAGATACATATACACAGGTACATAATTAATATTTGATTAGAAAATTATAACTGACATCTATCTTAATCCCATAAATAAATCCAAGTCTATTTATAAACACAATATGATATGCTCAAAGTTCAGTGTTTTATAAACTTTATACTTTATAATCAATGCCTCTTATTTAAAGTTCTCGAAATTCCCGTTGAGCTCTAAAAACTTTAATTTCCAGCCCGTCTTTATCTTCTTTCTCTTTCAATTGTCTCATCTTTATCATACTTCCTCTCGCTCTCTCTGCCTGTGTAGGTATTTCGAATCTTGAGAAGATGACAGGCCCAGACACCGTACTGAGCCGCTGATAGACCTCTGTCCACTTTACTCGCTTTTCGTACTTGTTTCTTTTTTATTGTTTTTTTTGGTACTTGTATTTTCGCATATGAGTCACACTCGAAGCAAACCAGAAATCTCAGCGTTTCCGAATGGTTAACTTTTTGCCATAAGACTCTTAAAAAGCAGAGACTGGGCATTCCCAGAAAAGACCTTTAGACCCCACATAAAATAATGTTCAAGTGAGCGTTATAATTGTTGATACTGGTGAGTAGCTTAATGGAATAGCGTTAATTATGCAGATATTTTGGGGGATTTAAGCTTCAGGGTGGTCTTGTTTACTAGAAAAAGAAAGAGAGAGAAATGTATAATGATAAATAAAAGATAGGATAGGTATAACCATTGATCGATGATGTAGATGGGTTAAAAATATAGATAAAATATGTGTTGTAGATTTATAGATATACAAAATTTGATTGATGGATGTATTTATGAATTTAAAATTAAAGTTTGAACTTCGAAGATATCAAATAGAAGTAAAAGTAAGTGTGTACGAGTATACGGTAAAAGTTGCACTGATTCCTTAAGGTTATATCTATGACTCAAGCGATAGGAACTCGATGAGCGTTATAAGGAAAGAAGTAGCAACTGTAGATAGAAGTATACATCGATAGATCAAAGTTATAAATGTACCTACATATGTATATGGAACTCAAGCGATAGGAACTCCACGTACTATCTCAAAATTAACTGTAGATAGAAGTTAGAAAATAAACGTACATATATGTACATATATATACAAAGACCTATCTATACAGACCATAAATATATATAAATGATTCATATATGTTGAGATAGAAGAACAAATCAACATACATATGTATGTATGTAGAACTATTCAGACAGCCAGA